GAAAATCAGGAGACAGGCTACTGGGTTTTTTTTTTTTAAATATCCGTTGATTTCATCAAGTCAAAGGCACCTGAAATGTTTGGGAGAGATTGGAAAGTGTAAATTCAAGCAAGAACAGAAAGTGAAGGGTTTGGGGTTTTTTTTTGTTTGGGGCTTTCTGATCTTCTCAATAGTGTCCTCAGAACTCAAGGGAACAGAAAAGCTGATAAAAGACTGAGAATGGCATTATAAAGCAGAAGAAAAATAATCAGAGCACCATGTCAAGTCAGAGGAAGGTACATGAGTTTAGAGCATAGTGACTCATCTACAGATAAGATACTTTATTGGCCATCACAGCTCCAATGGTGTTACAGCAAATTATTTTGCCTTGCTTTACCTTCCTCAAATATTTTTACAGCTCTCCCACTGACTCATAAGTCAACTCCATGCAGCTTCCTATAAAGCACACAGTTGAGATGAAGTTCAGGGGTGCACAGAAACTGTTAAGACAGGATAATACTGTGCTGTAGCATTATAACCGTTTCTTTTGTCCTCAGAAATTTTAGCCTCAATAACAGCTTTAGATACCTAGCCAACAGGACCACTGACTGTTAAGGATAAAACATTTTCATTACCAACTTGCCTAACAGAATAAAGAGTATATGAAATAAAAGGAGTGGTGGACACAACCACGGGGGTAAGCTTTTGGCAAAGCAGAATGACATTTGTAGAATTTAAGAGAACACGCAACTTGCCTCTTCTGGAGGGGTGGACTTGAAGACCTCCTGAAAACTCTTTACTGTCTATGCATCTCTACCATTCCTATGCCTATCAGGTAACAAAACTCCAAACAGATGTTAAGAGCTGAATCTTGAAAGAGAATTCAGGCAGGCATAGTAGTCTAATATTATACAGACATTTGAAAGATGTTACTGCATATTTTAACACTGACCTGTTTTATAGCCTGCTGTCTAGGGAACTGTTTATTTCTACAAACCACTACTGAACCTGGCTTGCAAATCTAGAATCACAGTTCAAATAGTATGGAGAATTAATTTCTAAACAGACTTCACAGTATTGCTGATTCTTACAGTAATGTACTCAGAAAAGGCACTGTTCTTCTAGAAGTCCCCAGTCGTATCATTATATAATTACTCATAATCCCATCTTTAAAACTAGATGATTTGGTTATAAAAACAAGAAGAAAATGGGAACAATAAAGACTTGAGAATTTTAAGACAAAAAGAAAGGTTCCACATTTATTACTTTAAGACAAACTAATCATAGAAGTGGAAGGATAATGAGGATTTGGAACTTGATGCACTGAACAGTTGCTGCTGACAACAGTTTTCATAATAAAATCAGTTTGTTGGCATGCCCCCATAATGGATATGGTTTGAAAGACTAGAAAAACCTGTGAATATAGATTTCAACTGTAGATATTATCCATTTATTAGTATCAAAAATTACCCTTTTTTTTTTTCTGATTCTATCTTAGAAAAGTAGGAAGGACCATTTACATTCCAAAATGTTGCTGGTTTCCAAGAAATTTCTATTCCTTTATACAAACAAATCTACAAAAATTTATAATTAAGACTTCCTATTTCCCCTGATCTCCTCAAGTCATTATCTCCTATTACACAGAAATACGAAGTTCTAAGACAGAGTTCCAGAATTTGCTGCATGGACATAATCACAATAAGCAAAACATTCCTCCAAAAAATTTCAGAGTGACAGAGAAATTCAGTTAAAAATAAAACATTTGCCATAGCTCAGAATTTGTTGGAACAAGAAAAATTCCAGCTGACCACTAAAAAAAAATGCATTAAATAATTTAAGAGACTCAAAAATCCCTCTTACTCATGATCCTAAACTAATGTTTTAAAAGAATATTCTTTCTTTATAGCAAATCCAGAATGTTTCCATAACTATATACAAATTTAATCTGTGCAACTAGATTGGTAGTTGACCATATCTGCTTAACACAAACAAGAAAGAACAATATTAACATTATATTCTTTCTCCACAGCAGAACTGGCCACTAAAGCTAGATTATTAATGATCACAACATTCTGATACCAGGGTACTATGTATATACTTAATTTTCTTTTTATTTCAGGAAAGCTAGATGAGAATGGAAACAACTGAATAGTGCATTTTGGGATTCAACTGTATTCCCAAACAAGTTTAAATGCCAGATTTTAATCTACAAATGTTTTCTGGTGATGTACCAAGAAGGCTGTTTGACTTAGGTAAAAGAAATTTTTAAAAAACAAAAAACCCACAACATTCTCCTGTGAGTTCACACATCTTTAAATAAATAAATAAATAAATAAATAAATAAATAAATAAATAAACATACATTTCTGTTTCATACTGCAAGCTAGTTCAGCCACGTAGTAGAATCCTGTAATACAGTCTCTGAAATCTGTTTTAACAGGGGACCAAAAAGCAACTGGATACCAAAAACTGTATTTTTACACACATCATATTTCTGCCAACATGGAATAAGTAACACAATAAAAAGAACAGCATCCAATGTTATATGGATTTGGGCTAAGCTAATATAATTTTCAAGAGAGGCAATAAGAATCTATCCAGAAGTATCCTGACAGATATACTACAGATCCAAGGTTTACTGTTCTTTAAAAGAGAAGAATTATATAGAGTCAACATCATGACTTTTCCAAAGCTAAGAAACATCTCAACCTTTCACATATGAGGTAACACTATACACACAGCTGGCATTTTTAAATCTCTGCATAAGTAGTTGCATGGTAACATATTTATGTTAACTATTCCATAATTTTATCTGTAGCGCAGGCATATTACATAAAATACATATCCAAAATGTAGGTAAGGTTTCTATGACATGGTGTACTCAGAAGAGCCCGTATTTTCAAAGATACAGAAGGCAAAGAACCGCTTTCAGATATGAGTCAGGAGTACAGAGCGAGCAGTTCTTATGCTTAGGAATGAAAAAACTGCACTTTTCCCTTCTCAGCAAATGACAATAATTCTCCTTTTTCAGAAACACTGAAGAGTTCATGTAACACTGGAGGGGAAGGCATGACTGAGCTGTTCTGCCAGATACCAGCTCATGGAGAGGTTTTGTGGGGAGAAAGGGAACAGTGTTGTTAAGCGATACACTTATTGGAAAGTAGACTTTGATGAATGTAAACATTCAGTCAACCTTTTATTTGATTTGACCCTTTCAGCTGAGACGTAGCTTCTGCAGGTGTCCAGTCTGCAGGGATGTAAGGGTATTCTCACTGAGACAACTATCTCTGATAGGAACACACCCTGAAAATAGAGATACTTCTTGCTTCCTTGCACATAATTCACATTGCAGGGAACTGAAACCACGCAACCATTTCTCTTGTGGAAAGCAATCTGTAATTCCACATACCACAGTATCAGGTAACAACTGGCAATATGCTAATACCATACCGCAGTTATGTCAAACCAAAAGTACCAAAGACACAGAAGAATGAAATGGTACCACCCTCCCTAAGTATCAACCACTCCCTCTTACAACCTAACTCAGGGTAACAGGACACAAGACTCCACACTATGAAGAAGGAAGGGAAACTGGAAAACATCTAGAGCAAGATCAAATTCGAAACTGGATAAATTACGGGTGGGCAGGGAGCACTGAGCAGTAATTACCATCCTTCAACAGTGTCCTCCAACAGCTGTATCTTACAAGAAAAGAAGATCATTTTGAAAACAAGCAAAACAAAACCAAACACACAGAACTGAACCCTTAAGTGTACCTATTACATATTGGTAGACACATGAAGATTATTCAAAGGAATAGTTTATTTAGCTTGGATGGTATAACTTGTTGGAATTTTACACAGTGACAGATGATGAAACAGTGACCACTACTTTCTAAATTTCTCCTACAAAAATAAAATCAAGAAAAAGCACCATAATTGGACATATATTTAAATTACACAGGCTATTAATATTGGAAATGCTCCTAAATGGGATTGCCATGGAGGTTGTAGTTAGTGACACATATGAAACCATTCATTTTTATATTTTCCCCGTATTTCATTTCTACGTCTACTGAGTGAACACCACCACTGAAGTGGAAATTCTTGTTTATACTTCTCTGAATTAAAGCACAGAATAAGAGTAGATGTATATTCAAACTACTAACAGCAGCAACATTTTAAGTGGTTATTAAAGTTAAAATATTCCCAACATAAGCAGCTGTCCAACTGCTTGCTTTCTTCTATTTTTGTTTATTTTCCATAAATTAACCATTAAGAAAAGCAAAAGCAAACAAAAAAGGTGCAATCACAACAAAACAAAGTTAATTATGCAAGATTCTCCCCTTTTTGTATGTCCACCTTGTTTTCTGAGGAGAAAATGCAAACAAAAGTAACAACAGCTACACAGAAAAATTTCAAGGGCTCTAAAAGAACCACATTAAGAAATATTTTTCATCTAAAAAAAAGCAGAAGTACTGCAGTAATGCACATGTACCACAATACAAAAGACTTCAAGAAGCATTATCTACCTGTTACTCTGACACTTTTGCCTCTCAAGATGTTATAGAAAAGCAGCCCACAGCATAGCTAAAGAGCAAATGTGAATTACAGAACAAACAGGGAGGAAGCCTGTTTGTCAGTCTGTCCTGCAGTCAGAAATCTAGGGGGTTGCAGCCTTGGATAGATACTCTTCTAGTTTTACTGCTTCCCATAAGCCTAGTGAACTAAAACAGGTGCAGAGAGTGGGCAGAAACTTGAAACTTCCACAAGAAATACCTGCAATTAAATTATTTTCCCACAACTTTCAGTAGAAACAATTCATATCCTCACGGAACACTGGATATATTTGAAAGTCATGGAAAGTATTAATTTTTCTAATAAAAGTTAGAAAAATACTAACCAATCTCTGCCTACCAGTTAAACAATCTGATTATAAATGTATTTTAACATATTTGTCTGAAATTAAGAGTAACTGGTTGAAAATACATATTTAAAAAAATATCAGAGTATGAAAATTACCTAAAATTACACCAGAAGCAAAATGCTGTCTTCAGAAGGCAATTCAGCCTGTATATTAAAACACTGGGTTTTCTTTTTCCCTTGCAATTTGGTACATAGCTGTAATCCAAAGCAACTGTAGCAACACTAGAAGAATTAAAAAGGAGGCATTCACATCAGTAAAGTTTCTCAAGAGGAAGTCTACAGGTTGTTCTTTAATATGAAGTGTTGCTAGTGCACAAAGCAGTAGCTACTCTGCTACATGACCCCTTTTTTATCTTGCTAAATTCCAAAGGGAAACCAACTTGGGTTTCCTCAAATACTGCTGAAAGATCTTTGCAGTGCTTCAGAAACAAATTAACCTAATCCAAGCAACACAGTTTTGTACTTGGGAGTAAAGGAATGCATTATGAAAATGTTAGAAAGAAGATGCAGTGTAACAAAAACCTCAAATACCAGAGATCACTGCAACAGCATTCTTGCTGTATGCTGTAGCACAGAGAAAAATACTGTGGGAGGAGAGGTCTCACATCAGAGCATTGTCTGAAACAGCAGACAGCAAGGTCCTACTACACAAGGCAAGGTCAATGCAACTGGAGAGTCATCTGTTTAAGAAAACACACTATTATTAGATGCAAGTTATGTAGCACTTGTGCATACTAATAGAATAAAACCATTACCCCAAAAATAAATATTTTCAAATGGTAACTTTGAATTTGCAATCAAAGTTTCCACTTTCTTTGTCTCATTGAAAACATTCAAATGAGTAACAAAGTACACTGAAAATACCTAAGTATTTAATTTTTAAATTACTTATGAAATGTTACAATTGAAAATTGCAATAATATATATATATTTTTTAATGAGGTGGCTCCACTAACAATGTCATAACAAATTATTAAATATTACTTACTGATGGCAATGTAGAATTAAAAGTATCCCAGAGTTGACAGCCTATTTAAACTATTATGATATGCCTCAGACTACCATGAGTAAAATATTACAGTAAATATACTGGCCTAGAGAATACACTTCCTTGTTCAAGACTCAAGTCTCCACTGTCTCCATAGGCAAACGTTATTCTGTAGTACATAAGAGCTTCAGATGTAAAGAACACAGAAGGCAGCTCCCTGGGGCATGCCACATATTCCACAAGGCACATATCCCTGCTACTTTTATTACCTGCAACAGCATCATTGACCCTAGATAGACTGGAGAAATACAGTGGGCTCTGGAAGAAGGATAATTCTGGTGAAGAGTTGAACTCATTCCTTCTAGCTCTTGTAGTCTACCAGTTTTCAGTAAATGATGGCACATGTAGCTTTTGTTTGATGTGTTAGATTATTTAGGAATGACTGGGCAGTTAAGAAGTGAGAGTTTAAAATAAGTGACAGTAAAGTCTTGCAAATACATGTCACCACGACAGACTATATGGAACCACCAAGGACCAGACTTTGATCCTGTAGTGACATGTTTACGAATTAACTACATTTTTTCAAATAAGATCAAAATTTTGTGCCTCAAAAGCAGAAGAAAAACATTAGAGAGTTCCCAATATAGGAAATGCAAAGAAAAATTGTCATCACTTCGCCACTTAAAAAAAAAAAAATCACAGTGAAATATGACCAATATCTGGCAGAACCATGACTGTGGAAACCCCACCCACAAGCAGATATATGTATATATTTGCCAAGACAAATAAAACAGTATGCAGAGTAAGCTGGACTACTCTCAGATAATATGTACTCGGTCATTTAGGCCCTGAAGTACACGTGCAACAATTCTCCTCTAAATGAGATTAAGCAGGCTCAAGAAGGGACAGAATTAACCTAAGGAAAACCATGGCTTTCAGGTTAGCATGCTAATAGTGTTCTAAAACAGAGCCATGATGAAAAGTATTATTTAAAAATTAATCAGACTGCATACTAAAGGTACAGACAGCCATTAACCTGCTGTCTGCATAATCAAATGATAGCCATTACTCAAATTAAACCATCAATGGCTGCATTGTGAACAGGCGTGAGAATAAATCTGTCCATGCTAGAGCTGCGTGATTCCTTCCAATGGTTCATTTACCACTATTTTCAAAAAGTAATTAAAACAAAAACTGTGAATTATTGTTAATAACACTACCATTGTCATTTATAAAGTTTAGTCATGAGCCAACACCCATTTTGTGGTAGTTGCCATACAAAGAGAAAACAACCCTTGCTCCAAAGTATGATCTTTAGTGTTTAAAAAGAATAAAATCTTAAAGAAATACTTTTGTAAATATGCAGCTAAATTAAAGAATCACTAACAAAACCTTAAAGTTTAATGAAAAATCCCTATGCCAATCATGGACTTCTAATGAAATAATAGATTGGGTTTTGCCTCCTTTGTAACTCAGGTCTTCCTTTAACTAATTCTTGTTTCAAATCCAAGAACTATTGCTAAATTACAGCTGTTCTTCTTCAAGAAAGAAGAGCTGCTAACTTGAGCTAAATGTTTCCAACCATTATAAATTTACCACAACTTTTCATGAACAGTTACAACCATCACTTTTCAGCATGTGCCTTGCTTCTATACTGGATTTCAGTGCAGGTTGCAGTCACTGGATCTTAATATTCATATTTCTCTTAAATAGAACAGTCATTTGATACAAGAAATGCTCTCTTACATGAGTACTTACAAATAGTGATCCAATCATTTCACAACATTCTTCTGGATAACCTAAATATAGATAATTTCTTTATCTCATTTTACAAATCTCCCAAACCTCAAATTATCTTATCTCTTGCATGAACTTGTTCTATGATTTCCAGTAAATAGCTTCGAGAAATTTTTTATTCTGCAGTAGAGCTTTCATGTTTCTTGAAGTTTTACTTTGGGGTTTTTTTCCCCTTATGAAATTGTTGGAACACTGGCTTGAACACCACACTTTTATTGGTTAAGATGCATACATTAAATTAATGTGAATTGAGGGGGCAGGAACTCCACGGTCTGATCTGCAGTCACAATGTCTTAATAACAAACTTCTTACCATGTGTGAAAATACGAATGAACTCATTACAGTATACTAGATTAATACCTCAATATGGCAGATCATGAATAAATTCTATTTAGATGACTAAGAAAGAAAGATTTCAGTAATCCTTTGTGAATTTATGCACAGGCCGGGCATGCTCTTTGATGACTTAGGCATTTCTCTCCGAAGCATTTCCTAATACACAGAATGTTGCTGGTGTTGCCTTGTTTATTCCATTGCTCCCAAATTTGTTTAGGTGGTTTTCATTGTGTTTTTGTAACGACGTTTCACAGGATGAGATACCACAGATCAAAGATGATTATCTGCAGTTGGAAACACTCTTTAAGTGACTTCTTAAACTGCATAATGGTCACTGCTTTGCAGCAATTAATAAATGTTTTTTTTTCATAACTGGAAGGTTCTCTGATCCCCTTTCAAATATACAAAATCTACAGGATTGACACAGTTAGCAAACTTTTGACATATCAATACAACTGCAAGCCCAATTCCGCTCCTCACACAAGCACCTTACTGTGAAACATGAAACGTATGACTATTCCTTTGAAGCACAGCTGATATTTTAAGGATTTCTCTACCACTCCACCCAGTTCTTACACTTCCTTTATCAGAAGCCTAGTTTGCAGCCACCTGTATAGACTCTTCCCCGTATCACCTGTACTGGTGGCATCCCAAGAGTGTGCAGCAGAACCGATAAGCATCATGCCCTGCCACTTTGGTCCTGATCCTACAAACACTTCAGTAAGTGTTTGCAGACTTAGAGTCTTCGTAACTCAACCACACTTCACCAAGCAGGCTAAAGAGAAGTCTGGAGCTGGAAGGAATTCACGTGCCCTTCGTGCCTGGGCACCAGGGCCTGCAGCGCCGGGCGGAGGAGGGCTGAGAGCCCGCCAGAGGGGCTCGCCGAGACCCACCGAGTGGGTGAGAGACGACAGCGCCCCTGCCACTCACACCAGAGGCTCCTTCTGACGCCAGATCTCCCACGAGCTACACCGCTCTTGGTGGGTCACAATCAGCCAGGCTTGCATGTAAAACAGTAACAACTGTTTGTACAATCACAACGGGTAAAAAAAAGAGAACAGGGAAAGCGAGGGATGAATGTGTAACAATGTGGGATATGGGCAACCCACCCCAATACGCTTTTGCATTTGGGATTTTCCTGAACCCTCCCGCGGGAAGGGGGGGACCCCCGAAGCACAGGTCAGGTGGGGAGGGCTCAGGGGGGCGCGGGCCGCCGGGGGACACCGGGTCCGGCCGCCGGCGTCCCGGGGCTGCGGAACATG